TCCGCCCCCCCGTGTGAGTTAAAGACCGAATAGGCACATGCCCTAGTTCTGTTCTACGACTCGATTTGTTCGCCTTCTGTGATGGGTAGCGTTCCACGTGAACTGAGATGTAGCTGTCTTTTTAACAGCTGCATGATTATTCAATCATATGGATTAACCTCATTCCAACTAATTTCATCCTCTGTTGACGGTCATTCACAACAATTCCTATTTTTCACTTCTATTACAAATAACACTGCAGCAAACAAACTTTGGGTTAGCCAACATTTGTGCTGGATACATTTCTAAAAGTGGAATTGCTGTAGTATAATATAAATTTTTTATACGAGGTGACACTAATTCAAAATTTTAAATTATATTTTAGTAGCATCTTAATTTCCCATCTAAAAGGCACCAATTTTTAAAAAATATTGGAATATGATTTAAATGTGCAGTGGAAAGCACTTGGAAAGATGAACACAAGAGAGTAGAATAAAAACTCAGTTTAGGGGCCAGCCTCGTGGCTCACTCGGGAGAGTGCGGCCCTGGTGGCGCCAAGGCCGTGGGTTCAGATCCTATATAGGGATGGCCGGTGTGCTCACTGGCTGAGCGTGGTGCACACAACACGGTGCCGAGGGTTGAGATCCCCTTACCAGTCAAAAAAAAAAAAGCAAACCTCAGTTTAGGACCAAAACAGATCAAATCACATAAAATAATATAACCTCTCAAAAGTGTTTTTAATAGCCTGCTTAGCTAGAATTAAAAACTTCCTGATAACTTTGTAATGCCTCATTGAACTTAATTTTGAGATTTTAATTTTTTAATTCAGAGCTTACAAATTATGTATACAATCTATAATAACAACATTCACAGGAATTGGGGGAAATTTTACACAAAGTTTTCAGTGCTTTTGGATTTTCTACACATTTAAATGTTAACAATGTATTATACAAAATGCAAGATCTTAGAGTATTTCAGCCTCATGACCTGACAAATTTGCATAATAATTATTTTCACATTTAATTTTGCTCCAGTAAATTTAACATCCTTCATTATGGAGTTGTAAATGCACAGGAATTTTATGGAGTTGTAAATACACTTCAAAAATTTAAAGTAGTGGTTTCTCACCTTGCCATTCTTTAGTAGAGAAGAAAAATGTTGGAGCCTTTTTTGTTTCATGTGTTTAGAAAGTCTGGGGATTATTTAGTAAACATCAGTAAAGTACAACATGACAGAAAAAAAATCACTAATTTTTAGGGCTGGCCTGTGGCTCACTTGGGACAGTGTGATGCTAACAACACCAAGGCCAAGGGTTCAGATCCCTATATAGGGATGGCCAGTTTGTTCACTTCAGAGAGCGTGGTGGTGACAACACCAAGTCAAAGGTTAAGATCCCCTTACTGGTCATCTTAAAAAAAAAAAAAGTCACTCATTTTTATCTTATTTGAATTGCTTCAGAGAGCGTGGTGGTGACAACACCAAGTCAAAGGTTAAGATCCCCTTACTGGTCATCTTTAAAAAAAAAAAAGTCACTCATTTTTATCTTATTTGAATTGCTTTTTTTATAGGTTTTAGATTATGGTGTTTGATAGAAAACCTTATCATACTCAAAATTTGGCTTTCAATTAAATTTAACAAGCAGTTTATGCCATATCACAGGGCAGAGAGAGCATGGACTTTGGTATAGGTTTAAGTGCTGAATTTGCTACTTACCAGCTGTGGGACTTCAGGTGAATTACTCAAACCATTTAGCTTCATTCTCTTCAGCTAAGAAAATGGGGATATTATCTACCAGACAGCATAATTTTCAGAATTAAATGAAATCAAATACGTAAAGCACTGGACACAATAAATGTTAGTTTCTTTCATCCTATGTGTAAGGCTTTGTACTCGGGTGAGGATCACAATCCTGGGAGGAAGACAGACACACACTAGTTATTCCATACACAGATGTCAATAAGTGCTGTAAGAGAAGTACAATAATCACCACATCCCTGTATTTCCCTAGTAATTTCTTCTTAAGTAATGCTGACCTGACATATAAGATTGTATTTCAGTTTCTCAAAGAGAAGCACAACTTTGCTACTGATGCTGAGGTACAATCACACAAATTATTTTTTTGGCAAGGTCCTACATTAATCAGTGTCTTAGGAAGAGTAGGACTTATGTGTGAAATGACTAAAACAATCAAGAAGTTTCTAAAGTTTTGTCTGTGTAATTAGATCACAAGAAAAACACACTCCAGCTTAATAGAAGAGCACACAGCTATTTGTGCACATATACTTTAATACTTAGGCTTGGGTACAATCATTTCAAGTGACAGACATTAAAATATGTTTTGGGAGACAACCCAGCAATTGCATAATCCTCTACAAAATTTTAACATCTAAGCAATATAACTGTGTTTTAGGATCTGAAAGTTCTTTTTAAGCTGTTCCACAGCTTCTTTATCAACTGGGCAAGTATTTTTAAGCTTTTAAATTTCAGAATGTTGACATATTTTAAAAGGCACCTTGAGGTTCTCTTAATATTGAAGATACAACATTTACTTTATATTCCATGACCAAAACCTTTTTGGCAAGTGACTTTCACATAGATGATAAGATTCTCTACATGCTTTTAAACAATACATTTGGCAGTTCTAACTCATACCTGAATACTCTGGACAATTGTCTTGCACTCTGGGCTAAGGCTCAGGACATAGCAGCCAAGGCCCTCAAAGGCTTACTGACCTAATTGGACAGTTTGTTAAACAGCAGGAAATGGAACCAGCCTTCTCTCCCTCTCTCTTGAATGTCAGTGTAGTGCACAGTGCTAATTGCCAGAGGTTGTACAACTTAATCACAATATTTTAAATCAAAATTCAATGTTTTTAGAACAAAAGTTACCAAAGAAAACCCCCTATTCTTGGAATTTTAAAAACATAGAGGGGTTGCAATTATCAAAAACAAATTGGGCAAAAAGGAAAATATGTCCTTTAAATAGTGATTGGACAAATGTCAGTAAGCATTCAAAAATCTAGAGTCAATTCCCTGGTGACAGCTAACAAAGTTGATGGCAACAATTTAAACTGTATCACAGACCTCACAAGGTGGCGATCTTGTCCATTTTGGCTGGTTTTCTTCACACCTTAGTTTTAGCACCTGCTGTCAGAGAGACCACCACTGAGCACCAAGAGCATCAGCCCCTCAATGGGAGTTTTAAGTAACTGGCACTCAGTGATCTTGACTTCTTTGCTGGAGGTTAAAAAAAAAAAAAAAGAAACATTTAATATTGTAAAACTGGGAAACAAGTCCAGAACATGTTAGAAACTCTCCTATCTGAAGGCACAAAAAAGTTTGGCAGGTAGTTGATAAAAACCTGACATACATAAATACAGTTTAAAACAATTGAAAAGTATAAATATTTGTGAATTATTTTTCCTCCAGTGCTCTGGCTATTCCTGAAAACATCTTCTAGTTCCATTTGGTAAATGGACTTCTGAAAGATGAATGCTGCAATCTTCTGATGCTTAAGAAATAGTCACCATAGTTATCAAAAAGGTAATTAATTGCAAAGGGCTCTCTCTGTTGCCTGAAATTGTAGTCACCTGAAAATTGAAATAACTTAAGGCAGGATTTCTTAAAATGTTTAGGTATTTTCAAACCTAAACAGAATGGCCTGATAATGTGCAGATACATAATTATCAAACATGTACGAGAGAAATACATGAAATGAGAAGAGAGAGTGCAGAGAAAGGACTGTTCTGTAGTTTAAAAGCTTGGAGCTTTTCCCTCCTTCTCAGCTGTTTATGTAGAAGACACACAGCCTGACCAGGGCAGCCTCAATGCCCAGGAATGGTTGTGTGATGACTGATGAGACAGAAATTTCTTGCCTATTAATAGTTTCCCACTGTTAAAAGGGTACAGATAGTGGCAAGCAATCTTGGTCTCAGGTTTTCCTTGTCCTGGGGCAGAAATGCCTCGAAGGATCATGATTCGGTTTTACACTATACATTCTGTTTACAATGGGCAAAAACACACAATTAAATGTTCCTGAGAAGGCATTCACTGTGGGCCCAAGACCCCAATATCACAATAGCATATAACAACTATATATTCAGGACACATGCAAAAGGCCTTCCAAACAGGAGATCGAGGCATTTCCCCCCCTCCCCGCGCCCAAAACCCCTGCCTGGACTCTCCCCAGAGGGGGCCAACCCTCCCATGCACCTATCCACCCAGCATCCTCCCCCAACACGTTACACAACTCAGCTCGGCCTTCTGGCCACCTGCAGATACTTTTTTAGACCAAGTGACACAGACTTTTCAAGTAGGAGACAAGACGGGCCACTGCCAAGGGGCCTTGCAGCAGGAAGCGAGGTCACACAACTTGGATGCGGTGAAGAGTGCGGAAGAACAACCACCTAGATGTGAGAGCCCAGCCAGGAAACGACTGCAGGTGCGGCTTAGGTGAGACTCAGATGAAGTGGATCCAGCTCTCCTCACACTCTCCGCGGGGCATGTGCAGCGCGTGGTTGCGACATGTGAGACTGTAGTTGTGGCCATCATTGTTGTCCCAGTATTCAGCACCTGCCACTTGGTAGCGCAGCGCAAAGTACACGCGAGAGCAGGGCTCCAGCAGGAAGGGCGGCACTGGAATGCCAAAGGTGAAGACATCCTCAGTGCTCTCTGCGCCCACAGACCCACGCCACCGGGCCACTGCCTCGTGTGCACTGCGCCAGCCTGAGAAGGTGTAACGCACTGTCACCTGCTTCTCAAAGGCCACATTGCACACTCGCACAGTACCGCTGATGCCCAGGTCGGAGCAGGTGACGCCCTCAAGGCACACGAGTTGCCGCTGCAGGCGCTCACCGAAGTCGGCGGCCTCGATGGGCGGCGGGAAGTCGGGCACCAGGCACTGCAGGGTGAACTCCAGGTCCTGGCTGCTGCAGCACAGGTCCGAGTTGATGGCGAGCCTCGACAGCACGTGCAGCGGCACCGATGGGTCGTCTCCCGCGTTGAACACTTTGACCTGCGCCAGCTCCAGTCCCAGCGCGTCGGCGAAGCGCACGCGGAGCTGCCGGCTGCAGCCCGGCCGACACGCAGCGCCCGGCGCGCCCGCGGCCTTCTGGCGGCGCTCGGGGGAGCTGGGCAGCGAGCGCGCCCGCCGCAGGATGATGGGCCGCAGGCGGGGGTCGCAGCCCGACGGCGCCGGCGTCGGTAGCGGTGCGTGACCCGGAATTCCCGGGGGCCTACAGGGCCGCCGCTCTGGGGCCACGCCACCGTCCAGGTCCGAGAGGCAGCTGAGGCTCCGGGGGGCGGGCTTCCGGGATCCTAGAGCAGGGGGTAGGACCGCGGAGCCCGGGCCCCTGGACATCGCCCAGCCCGCCGTCGGGAGGTGAGGAGACGGCCTTCGGACCCCGCGTCTGCTCCCTCCGTGTCCCCGGCAGTGCTCAGAAGCCTCAAGTGTCCGCCGAATGACAATCTACAGGGGACCCTAAGGCCCGCTACGCCCTTCCCTCGTCTGTCACCTCGTCCCTCGAGTCCTCGCCCGAGTCCTCCGCTTTCTCGCAGCCAAAAAAGAGCTTCTTTCCAAAGAGATGAGCGCTTTCGCTAGGGGAGGCTCTCCGGGCCCCCGGGAGCGCAGGACGGCGCCTCTCTTTTCTGCTTCCTTGAGGTTCTTACGGGAAGGCTGCGTTCCCGGGGCGGCCCCTCCCACCTTCCCCGGCCGCCGCCTCACTTACGAGGCTGCAATTCGACCGGGCGCAACTTCCCGGCGAGCCTCCGCCCCGCCCCTCGTGACACCGCCCACGGCCGTGCCCGCGCAGCCGGGGAGCCCCCC